GAACCAGAGTTCCAGCGGCCAGACGTTTAGATCTGCGCTGCTCGCCGGCAGAGAGGTTTCAGGAACCCCAATCCAGCCTGCAAGAGGACAGGAGCAGGCTGGCTTCCGCTCCAGTTGGACTCCAATTCAGAGAAAACAAACGATGCACTTCCTGTCTCCAGCCCCCAGGCCCTTCCCTTCTTCAGATGAGTCACTGCTGCCCAGTGAGTGGCACTTCACTGCCTAGGGGACCTGCCCTGTCCTCTGGGAATGTGGGCAGGGGTAGGAGGCGGAGAGGCGGCTGCCCAGGCCTGCCTCAGATCTGCCTCTCTGGGTCCCTACGCCTCAGACAGACGTGTGCAGCTCCACCTGCACAGCGCAGAGCCATAGCGGAGAGGAGGAGGCTGGGCCCTTGTGGGCCTTCTCCACGCCTCTGCCCCTGGCTCTTCAGCAGGCCCACGTGCACACCGCACAACAATGGGTGCTCGTGAATGAGAGTAGGCGCCGCTGAGCAAGCACTTCCTGTGGGCCAGGGACAAGGCAGGGTGCTCGCCTACCCGCTGACTTCCAGGGGACGTGGAGTCCTTGCCCTCTACCCCTGGGGACCAGAGTCCCAGGGCAATGAGCCCCAGTGAGAGCGGGAGAGATTCCAAGTCTGCCCTGCTGATGCCAACCCCAGCACCCTTTGCACCCGCCCTCAGAGCTACTGCGCTGCTGGTGCTGGGGCCCCTGGCCTCTCAGAAGGTGTCTTTGGGGGCCTGTACATCACTCCTGGGTCAATGAGCTGTTCATCAGCTTCAGAGACCCCTTATTTAGGTGGGCTGCCTTTCCATCTAGCCTTGCGCTGGGGGTGGGCTTTGCAGTCAAGGTCATGCAAGCAGCAAATTAAAAACACCCCATGGTCACGACACCCAGCTTGTGGCCAAGACACCTGGATCCACATCCTGACTTAGGACATCCTCGCCTCTGGAAGCCTCCACTTGGGGCTCAGACACAAATGGAGACAGGATCTGCATGGCCCAAAGGCCCGGAGACACACCCCCAGAGGATGGTGACAAAGCTGACACCTGCAGCTCCCCAACCACACACACACACACACACACACACACACATCCCTGTGCTGTCTCTTCCAGCCCCTCTCCTGTCCCAAGCCCTCAGCAGCCTGACCTGGGTTCCCTAAGAGCCCCTGGCCCAGGCAGACCCTGCATGTGGAAACTCCTCCCATCCTTTCTTGGGTCTCTGCCGTCCGCTCTGAGCCCCAGGGCTACACGCACTCCAGTGCTAACGGCTGACATGGTGGGGTGAAGGTTGCAGAGGCTGCGGTTGTCAGATGTCACCCCCTCCAGTTACAGCTAAGGAAACCAAGGCATTGGTCCCTGGTCCCATGCCCAGCTCAGCTGCAGCCTCCATCCGTCACTCGTCACGTCTGCGACGTTTCTCCTCCCAGCCTGCTTTTTCGCCTGGCTGCTATGGCGTAGTTAGATGCTCCCCAGGGAATCACATGCTGGCAGCTTGGTCCCCAGTGTGGTGGTGTTGAGATGGTGTTGGTGAGACCTTCAGGGAACAGGACCTGGTGTAGGGGTCACCACATTAGGACTTCCTGCCTCACCTCGTGCTCTCCCTAATGCCCCCATTCCTTCCACATGGTGCTATCTGCCCTGGGGCCCTCCCCAGAGCTGAGCCAGTGCAGGTGCCAAGCCCTTGAACATGTAGAACTGTGTGCTCAATAAACCTCTCTTCTTTGTAAAGTTCCAGCCTCGGTATAGGAACAGGAAGGGGTCCCACACCCTGGCTGCACCTGTCTAGTTAGAAGACAAAGCTCACTCCCTGATGCGTCTGGAAAGGGAACTCCCTAGTCTGGGGACCCCTCAAGCCTCAGTTCCCCACCCCACCTAGAGATGAGTCCACCAGGACTCACCAGCCTCCCACCCAGATGAGGAGCTGTGGTATCTGAAGCCCCTTGCCCACCCTAAAAGAGAGAGATGAGCCACTTCCCCACCCTGACTCCACAACCTCCAACCTAGGGGCTGAAGCCAGGCGCCGACCTCACATCCAGGTTCCTGCTTGCCAGAACAGAATCACCGTGCAGAGCACACAGACAAGTTGGGAAGCCCAGAGGAGCTGGCACTGGCTCCTGGCCGTGCCCCTCGTGGGAAGTCTGCATACACGAAGCCCAGGGGGGCGGTCTGCTGCCGCAGCCTCTGCTCACACGCAGAGCTCAGCACCCTGCTTTGCAAGCATGTGGCGTGCAGGTGTCTACCAGCAGGGCGTCTGTGCAAGGCTGCGGAGCAAACATACCTTAGAACTTTCTTTTTTCCTCCAAACTGGAAACTGTCATGAATAGCCTGATTTCTATCTTTATAGGGTTTTGGCCCCAAAGGTCTGAGGCTTCCATATGATCACATTTCAGTGGAGCTGGCTGGGGAGCTTGCACTTGACACGATGTTTAATCTTCACACATCAAAGCACACAGCACTGCTACATTTGTCGCCTTTGTTACCACGGCCCTCCTTCCAGCTGCACTGGCAAGAGACCCACAGCTCTCCCACACAGGAATTCCCCCCTTCCCACCTCCAGGCTCCCAGACACTTCAAAGCCATTTTGCAACAGAAATTAATAAATAAAAGGGATACCGAGTAAGGAGGGAGGGAGGGCAAGGGTAAGGGTTTTGTTTGTTCCTCTGCAAAACGTTGCACTTCATTAAAATTGTGGAAGTCGGATCCGTCCTGGTTTCTGGGGAGTCCACACAGGAAGCAACTTTCTTGTTCCTCTTTAAATAAAGGCAGAATCTGTGTGTGATTACCTAAACTCCCTACTCCAAGGAGCTCAGCCGGTCTGGAAACTGTGCAAGGGCAGGAAGGTGTGGTTGGTTACAGCTGTTCCTTCAGGAAAGGCAAGGCTTAGAATGGGAGCAGAGAGGGGCTGGCATTGTGGTATAGTGGGTTAAGAGGCCACCTATAATGCCAGCATCCCTTATAGGCACCGGTTCGAATCCCACCTGCTCTACTTCTGATCCATCCCCCTGCTATTGTGCCCAGAAAAGCAGCAGAATATGTCCAAGTGTTTGGGGTGCTGCCACCCACAAGTGAGACCTGGATAAAACTCCTGACTTCTGGCTTTGCCTGGCCCAGCCCCCACCATTGTGGCCATTTGGGAAGTGAACCAGCAGATGCAAGATATATCTCTCCTCTCTCTTTCCTTCTCTCCACCCCCCCCCCCGCATTCTCTCTCCATCTGTCTCTCTCTCTCTGCCACACCAGGAGCCAGCAGGGCCACAGGGGCCAGCCCTGGTCCTGTGCACACCTGGGGGGGTTCCTTTTCCTCATGGCGCTGCCTTCCATTCCCGCCACAGGCAGCTGCGTGCTGAGGCCGCACCACCGGTGACCAGAGGGAAGGCATACTTGTGTGTCCACACTGTTCCCTCCAGGCGCTGGCCATTGTCCACCCTGGATTCTGCTCCCTTTCACCCAGCGACACGCCAGTCGAACACTCAGACCTAAGTGGACGATGCTCCCTGCCACAGTGTGGACGCGGCTTGAGTCTGGGCTTCCCGAGCTGAAATGCAATCCCCTTTGTGTGGGATGAAGAGAAAGAGACTTCCCCAAGCTGTGGAGTTGGAGCCGGTCCTTTGGCACGTATGAGGATTAGACCTGGTCAGCAGGGCGAAGCCCTGTGATTGAGTACGGGTGCCTATGTAAGACCAGAGGACATGTGCGCGTGCACACGCACACACACACACACACACACACACTCCCTACCTCTTCACCAGCAAACCCTGGACCCTCCAGCACTGTGAGCTAAATAAACTTGCTTTCTTTATAAAGGAGCCAGTCTCAGGCATTTCCTTATAATGCCTAGAGGCTGGTTAACACTCCCCGTCCTTCCAAGGGAGATGTATAGAGTGAGCCACAGAAGCACCTGCACAAAGCATCAGAGAGAGACGCGTCAGCCCCACGCCACTCTGGATGACCAGACCGGGCTCACAAGCTGGTGTGGCCTGGGCCTCTGACAGTAGCTCCGCTCAGGAGAGCCCTGGGTTTCCCATTCACCTCCTCCTCCTCCGGCCACCCCGGAACTCTCCAGGAAACCTCAGGGCTGGGGGTGAGGAAGAAGGAGGAAAAATAGAAAAGGTGTCCCCTTCCCTCTCCCTCCCTCCCCAGGTTCCCATTGCCATCTACAGCTGGAAAACCAGGGTGGATCGTCCTTGTGGCTGGAACGGGCTGAGGACTGTGTGTCTTTTTTTTTTTAAGATTTATTTATTTATTTGAGCGTCGGAGTTATAGAGAGAGAGGGAGAGACAGAGAGAGAGAGGTCTTCCTTCTGCTGGTTCACTCCCCAGATGGCTGCATCGGCCTGAGCTGGGCTGGTCTGAAGCCAGGAGCCAGGAGCTTCTTCCAGGCCTCCCATGTGGGTGCAGCGGCTGAGGGACCATCTTTTGCTGCTTTCCCAGGCACATTAGCAGGAAGCTGGATCTGAAGTGGAGCGACCAGGACTCGAGCTGGCGCCCATAAGGGAAGCCAGTGCTGCAGGTGGAGGCTTCACCTGCTACACCACAGTGCCAGCCCCCTGCCAACTGTTTGTAACCCAAGCAGGTGCAGCCAGGTGGGGGGGCAGCCAGGGTGGTGGGCAGCACTTGTGGCGTCCTCCCAGCAGGGAAGGACCCAACGCAAGGACATTTAAACAGGCAGTGGAGAAAAAATAAAGTTGTGTTTCCATTGCAAACATGCACATTACACTTATGTGGGGTGTGATGGCAAACACAAGGCTTTGCTCAGTAAACTGGTTGAGGGACAGAAGAAGTTTATTCTCATAGAAACAAGGCATTGGGGTTAAGTCAGGTGCAAAAAGCCATCTCCACGTACAAATGTCTGGGGACGTGTATTAGTCTGTTTTCAGTATTATAATGACATGCTCAAGACAGGCTACTTTGCAAATAAAAGAGGTTGATTACAGCACAGGGCACAGGTCCAGGGTCACAGAGCCATATCTGGTGGTGGCTTTCTTGTGGCCGAGTCCTGAGGTGGCTGTGGGAGACACACAGGAAGCACGTGTGTGCACCTGTACTTGTCTTCCGGTCTGTCTGTCTCTTCTTACACAGTCACCAGGATTCGGTCACAGGGGCTCCGTGGTGCTGACAGCAAAGAATCCTGATCCCCTCCCAAAGGCCTCACCTGGGAGCTTCCGCCCTCCTAATACCTCACAGTGGAGGCTGTACACCAGACCCATGGCCACCCAGACCACATTTCAGCCACAGAAAAGGCTGCCCACAGGCCCCACCCACCGGAGGCGGGCACTCCTCCATCTCCACAGTCAGACCCACAGCTCTAGGGCAGACACGTGAAACCTGTCCAGCATCCTCTTCTCCTCCAGGCAGTAGCAGCAGCCTCGCTCTGGGTGTGGCCTCCATGTGCACCGGCGGGGGACACGGCTACGAGCCACTTTCAAGGGTGAGGACATGTGGCAGATGTGAGCAGAACACGTTTAGATTCTGTCCTCAAGGATAAAACTGTGGGTAGGAAGTGGGAAAGGACACAGAGCTGTTTCCTCTGTGGTCTGAACTTGGCACTGACCACACAAAGGTAGGGGCGCACTGTGCACCACTCAGAGCCTGCACGAGGGCAGTAACTCAAGGTCTGTCTCTCTTTAGAGCCACCAAGTTGTCACTGGCTATTTTAAAACACCTGTTTAAACCCAGGGACAGGCATGGACCTGGACGGGGTCCCAGACCACACTCGACGTGGACAGAGAGGCTCCAGGGCCACTCCGAGCTCTGTCTGGAGACAGCTGGCCGCACACCAGGGAGTTCTCCAGATTCACTTCTTGGGCAGAAGACCTCCCTCATCCACGGTGCCAGTCGCCAACGATCAGCCACAGTCCCCAAACTAGCATTTGTGAGTTGCATCAGGTGCCAGTTGGAGGCTTACAACAATCCTACCCTAACCCTTGGAGCCATGGTCTGGGACACAGGTATCTTTTCCGGGGGCAAGGAGGGGGGTATTGTATGGTGGGTACAGCTCAGACCAACAGAAGCACAGTGACAACCGACAGCAGACACCAGGTTGGTGCTATCCTCATCGCCCGTGGGGAGGCAGAGCCCCGCCCCGCCACACCCTGGGCGTGCACCTCCACCAGTTCACCCGGGCAGGAGCAGAACTTAGCACAGCTCAGCCAGCACTGTGGACACCGCGCCCAGGGAAGCATGCCCTCCCCCAGGAGCCTCATTCTCTGCCCCACACAGACCCAAGTAGTAACCTCCCCTCGCTCCCGTCAGCCTTGGCTCTGCAGATCTGCAGAAGCACTCCCAAAAGGCAGCAGGTGCTTTCCAAATGCTCATTTGCTTTCCTCTGAGAATCATTTTTAAAGTTTAAAAGCATCTTGTCGTTGTGGCATAGCGGGTGAAGCCGCCACCTGCAGTGCTGGCATCCTACATGGACGCTGGTTCGAGTCCCAGCTGCTCCTCTTCCGATCTAGCTCTCTGCTGTGGCCTGGGAAAGCAGTAGAAGATGGCCCAAGTCCTTGGGCAGCTGTTCCCACATGGGAGACCCAGAAGAAGCTCCTGGCTTGGATTGGCGCAGCTCTGGACGTTGGGGCCATCTGAGGAGAGTGAACCAACAGATGGAAGACCTCTCTCTCTCTGCCTCTCTTTCTCTCTCTATGTAACTCTGACTTTCAAATAAATAAATAAATCTTTAAAAAATAATTTAAAAAAGAGCACCTTGTGTCAACATACAACCCCCAATTTTTCTCCCAGGCCTATGCCCAAATGAATCGAAAGGAGCGGTCTCAAAGATATATTTGCGGCCAGCGCCGCGGCTCACTAGGCTAATCCTCCGCCTTGCGGCGCCGGCACACCGGGTTCTAGTCCCGGTTGGGGCACCGGATTCTGTCCCGGTTGCCCCTCTTCCAGGCCAGCTCTCTGCTGTGGCCAGGGAGTGCAGTGGAGGATGGCTCAAGTGCTTGGGCCCTGCACCCCATGGGAGAACAGGATAAGTACCTGGCTCCTGCCATCGGATCAGCGCCGTGTGCTGGCCGCGCCAGCCATTGGAAGGTGAACCAACGGCAAAGGAAGACCTTTCTCTCTCTCTCTCTCTCTCACTGTCCACTCTGCCTGTCAAAAAATAAAAAAAAATAAAGAAAAAAAAGATATATTTGCGTCCCCCACCCCGTTCATAGCTACACAACCCACAACAGCCTAGATAGGGAAACAACCCAAGTGTGCACCCACAGATGACAGGATAAAGAAAATCTGATACAGGCGATGATACTTCAAAAAATGTGTGGGAGAATGGAATTAAAAGTATGAATTGACTTTGGTGCAAAAAAATTCAGAAACCCACTTACAGTTTCTTCACAATGCACATTTCCCACTTGATGAAGAAAATTGCATCAAGAGATTTTTTTTGGCACCAAAATAAACTCATACTTTTAATTCCATTCTCCGCAAGCTTTTTCAAATACGCTCACACAGGCAATGGAACATTATTCATCCTTCAAAAGGAGGGAAATTCTGGCACACGTCATGACACAGACAAATGGTGAGGACACCTTGCTGCCTGAGGGAGTTGGTCACAGGACAAGAGCTCCCTGGTCCCACTCACTGGGAAGTCCCAGGAGCTGGCAAAGGAGAGTGGGCGTGGCCAGGGCTGGCAGCAGAGAGTGGGCACTGGCATTCAGTAGGAACTGGGACCCCTTCTTCCAGAAGATGAAGTCCTGGAGGTGGATGTTAAGGGGTGTGTGTGTGTGTGTGTGTGTGCCGAGTGCCACTCATCCACACACTGGAAAACAGTTAAGACAGTGCCTCCCATGTTACATGAATTTTACTTTTTTTTTATATTTAGTGCTCCAATATTGGATACATACATATATATGTACACACACATACATACATATATATATATATACATTAAAGATTTATTTGTTTATTTGAAAGGCAGACTTACAGAGAGGCAGAGAGAGAGAGAAAGAAAGAGGTCTTCCATCTGCTGGTTCATTCCGCAGATGGCCGCAACTGCCTGAGCTGTGCTGATCCAAAGCCAGGAGACAGGAGCTTATTCCAGGTCTCCCAAGCAGGTGCAGAGGCCCAAGGATTTGGGCCATCTTACACTGCTTTCCCAGGACATAGCAGACAGCGGGATAGAAAGTGGAACAGCCAGGACTTGATCGGCACGCATGTGGGATGATGGCACTGCAGGTGGTGGCTTTACCTGCTACACCACAGCACCAGCCTCCACAGTTTTTAAATTATGAAGCCCCACAGAGAAATTTTTAAAGGCCTGTTCTTGATGGGGTCTCAGCGGGCAGCCCTGGGCACTGTGTGAGGGTGTGTTTGTGTTTGTGTCTGATTCACTCTCAGGTGACACAAGCACTCTTGGTCACAGTCAACAGAAACAGAGGCAAAGGTGATAGGTCAATGACCTGTCATTCACTGCCCGGGCCAAAGGACTGTTGGTCAGTGGCGTGAGCCTCCCCTCTAGGGTTCAAAGCCGTAACCTCGTCAGCTCAGGACAGTGGCACACAGAGGCACCAGGGCCCTGTGACCACCTGCCACCCTGTGCCAGCAAACCATTCCTCTGCCACCTTTGATGAATGCCGTCGCCGTGTGTCTCATGCTTTCAAAGTCTGTTTGCTGTGAGCTCGCGGATGCGCTCGCTCAGTTGGTGACTGCATGCATGCCGCCGGCGCTGGAGGTGGGAAAAGCAGCCCTGCACACTCGCTCCTGGACAGGAAGGGGCCACACGGCTTCCTGGTGCCTCCAGGGGCCTGGCCCTGCCGCTGACCTACAACAGAGCTGCCCCTGGCGAGGGGACAGGCGGGAAATCTGAGTCCAGCCACTGAGAACACCCCCTGAGATGCTGGCATGAGCGATGGGGCTCCCAGTGCCCTGGGGTGCGTGCTGATGCAGCTGGGGACAAGGGGGGAGGAGGTTGGGACCGCAGACACTTTCCCCAGAACAGCTGCTCCTCCTGTCAGGGCTGGATTAGGGTCTGCTCAAGGTCTCCTCAGAGCCCCCCGGGCCTGGACCCTGATCCCCTGGCTGATCAGCAGACACTAGGTGGGAGCTCAGACAGGTGCCTCCACCTGTGTGCAACACCTGGGCCCTCTCTGGGACCTGGGAAGCCTCACAGGTGGTCTTGGGCACTGAATTAGACAAAAGGCTGTGTGGAGGGATCTGCTCCTAGGAACTGAAGTATGCAGCATGGTGCTGACATGGCCCTGGGGGGCAGAACAGGAAGCCCCGTGGGGCCAGGAAGTGATGCCAGCCTGGCCCCACCTCCCCCCAGTCCCGGGGGAGACCTCCGCCCCAGGCCACCAGCGCTGCGTCAGCAGGTGTACTCCACACAGGGCAGGCCATATGCTCTCTCTGAGAAAAGATCCACAGTCTAGTCTCCGGCAAAGTTCCCAAGCCACCAACCACCAGTGCGTTGGTAGACACTGTCTCTTTAAGTGTCCTTTCCCTCCCCTTTGCCAGCCCCGCTGAGACAGCCGGTGTCTGGGCTGCCTCCGGATGGAGAGGCTGCATCACACGCAGTCCCAGCATCCCCGCTACTGTGTCTGGTTAGCCCTGGGTCTTTCTTCTCTCTAGGAGGCCAGTTCTGTCCAAGACGAAACCACTTCTTATTTGGCTTTTATTTTCTCAGTGCCTGCACATGACAGGAAATCCAGTCATCCCTCTGCACCCAAGGGGATGGGTTCCGGGATCCCCCACAGACGCTAAAATCTGCAGACACTCAAATCCCTTAGATAAAATGGCACAATAGTGGCCGGCGCTGTGGCATAGCAGGTAAAGCTGCCCCCGGCAGTGCCAGCACTCAATATGGGCACCAGTTCGAGACCCGGCTGCTCCACTTCCTATCCAGCTCTCTGCTATGGCCTGGGAAAGCAGTGGAAGATGGCCCAAGTCCTTGGACCCCTGCACCCACATGGGAGACCCGGAGAAAGCTCCTGGCTCCTGGCTACAAATCAGTGCAGCTCCAGCGATTGAGGCCAACTGGGGAGTGAACCAGCAGATGGAAGACCTCTCTTTCTCTCTCTCTGCCTCTCCTTCTCTCTCTAATTTTGAACAAATAAATAAATCTTTAATTAAAATGGCACAATATTGGCATTAAACCTACATGCATCCTCCATACACTTTAAAGCACCTTAGATGATTTATGAGACTTCATACAATAAATGCTATATAAATAGTGTGGCACTGGGTTGATTGGAGAATAAAGACATAGTGAACACAGAAGATGTTGTTTTTCCTAGTATTTTAAGTTCGGCTGGTTAAACCCAAGAGGCAGAGCGCTGCCAGCCTCAGTGTACTCTAAATGGGAAAGAACAAATGGATGAGCGCGCTGGAGCTGGAGAATGCGATGCAGGACTGGGGACTGCTGCTCGTTTCTTAGCTGCTAGGATGCTAAGCACGTTTGTTAACATACGTGAGTCTGGGCCGCACAGCGGGAGTGGCAGTGCCGACTTCCTCGTGTCGTTCGTGGTATCATTGCAAGATGCACGATCAACTTGCGGTGGAGTGTACGAGCGTATTTCTAACATTCACTTTATTATTATTTTTTTTTTTGACAGGCAGAGTGGACAGTGAGAGAGAGAGAGAGAGAGAAAGGTCTTCCTTTGCCGTTGGTTCACCTTCCAATGGCCGCTGCGGCCGGCGCACCGCACTGATCCAATAGCAGGAGCCAGGTGCTTCTCCTGGTCTCCCATGAGGTGCAGGGCCCAAGCACCTGGGCCATCCTCCACTGCACTCCCTGGCCACAGCAGAGAGCTGGCCTGGAAGAGGGGCAACCGGGACAGAATCCGGCGCCCCGACCGGGACTAGAACCGGGTGTGCCAGCACTGCAAGGCGGAGGATTAGCCCAGTGAGCCGCGGCACCGGCCCTAACAAATGTTAGGCGATTTTAAAGGGCTACAGAATTATTTTTTAAAATATCAATATGATCATGGCACTGTTGAGATTCTCAAACACACTCACATTTGAGGCCAGGGTCCGGGATTGTTTTTATTGTTATTCGAAAGGCAGAGAGACAGAGAGAGACAGAATATCGGAGAGAGATATACCATCACTGGTTCACTCTGCAAATGCCAACAGCAGCCAGAGCCAGGCCAAGCTGAAACCAAGAGCCCAGAACTCAGACTGGGTTTCCTACATGGGCGGCAGGGGCGCAAGTACTTGAGACATCACCCACTGCCCCCCAGGGTGCACGGTAGCAGGGAACTCGATCAGAAGCAAGTACCTAGGCCAGCGCCGCGGCTCACTAGGCTAATCCTCCACCTTGTGGCGCCGGCACACCGGGTTCTAGTCCCGGTTGGGGTGCCGGATTCTGTCCCGGTTGCCCCTCTTCCAGGCCAGCTCTCTGCTGTGGCCAGGGAGTGCAGTGGAGGATGGCCCAAGTCCTTGGGCCCTGCACCCCATGGGAGACCAGGAGAAGCACCTGGCTCCTGCCATCGGATCAGTGTGGTGCACCGGCTGCGGCGGCCATTGGAGGGTGAACCAACAGCAAAGGAAGACCTTTCTCTCTCTCTCTCTCTCTCTCTCACTGTCCACTGTGCCTGCCAAAAAAAAAAAAAAAAAAAAAAAAAAAAAAAAGCAAGTACCTGCCCTAAACACCATATTTAAATGTGGGATGAGACGAACAGCGGCTGTTAGAAATCATGTTCAACCTCCTTTTCTCGAGTTATTTAAAAATCTGCTAATTG